GTATAATTTAGTTCCCGAACAGCATTTACTGTAAAGCTAACAAATTTCACTGCCATTTTTTAGTCTCGACTGAAGTTACACAAATTAAACAAGATGTGTCTATTATAAAATAATAAATATAAACTTTGATCAAATGAAAAGCAGATATCGAGTACAGTTTTATTAATTAAATCTTGCCCAAGTACTTTCGCTTCCTAGGGCATCTTCAGGGACATTTCGTCAATTTTGGCCTATCCAACAATCACAGAATGTCATAAACATAAAATTGTACATAACACTACACTACACAAGGACAATTAGTTTAAAATTATTTAAAATAGGCGAAGTTACACAATGGTCGGCAACAGTTAAGGTGACATGTCACCTACATCTGTCACACCTACACGTGTCACCTGTGACATGTTACAATTTATTTTTAGTAATAATTCCTACTTAAAACATAAAACAACAGAAGAGTTACATAGCATAATAAGAAAAGGAATACATCAAGCGGCCAAAGAAGCATTAGGAATAAGAGTAAACAAACTCAGAAAGACAAATAATTGGTGGAATGATGAACTACAGGAAATGAAAGATCAAAAGCAAAAATTATATCACAGATGGCTGGGAACAAAGGATCAAGAACACAAAAGAGAATATAGAGAAATGGTAAATAAATTTAAATCCACGATAATAGAGTCAAAAAATCAAAGCTGGGAGAGAAAATGTCAGGAATTAGATACGTATATTGGCGGCCGCAAATCAAGAGAATCCTGGAGATTTATAAAAAACATAGAACATAGATCCAACAGAACAGAACAAATAGCCATACACTCCATAGAGCCCGAAAAATGGGAAAAACACTATAAAACACTGTTAGTAGAAGAAAGACCGGAATTCAAAAACATAGAACAACATGAAATCCTGATTCAAGGAGAGCCTCCAACAATTAACATCGAAGAAACTAAAAAAGCTATATCATTGTTGAAAAATGGACGTGCTCCGGGCCCAGAGGGGATATATGCAGAGTTAATAAAAAATGGAACCGACAAACTATTCGAGATACTAACAGAAGTTTTCAATAGGCACTTGCACGGAGAACCAGTGCCACAAAGTTGGAAAGAAGGATGGATTACATCTATCCATAAAAAAGGAAATAAGGAAGATTGCAATAACTATCGGGGTATAACTGTTACGAGTACGCTTAGCAGATTATATGGGAGAATTATAAAAGAACGCATATGCGAAGAATACCGTCCTTTTGAATCAGAAGAACAAAACGGATTCAGAGCGGGACGATCCACAATAGATAGTATTTTTTGCTTATCCCAAATACTCGAGAAAAGAACACTGAGATCTCGAGAAGTGCATTTACTTTTAGTCGATTTAACAAAAGCATATGACACCGTGCCTGTTGCGAAATTGTGGGAAGTATTGGAGAAAACCAGTATCAGCGTTTCACTAATCGACGCTATTAAAGATCTATATAACAACACAATATCAAAAGTTAAAATAGGAAATAAGGTTACTAATGGTTTTCAGGTAACAAAAGGACTGAAGCAAGGTTGTTGTTTATCTCCCATACTATTTAATATATATATCGACGAAGCACTCAGGCAATGGAAAAAGAAGTGTAAAGGGATGGGGCTGTCTATTGGGGATGAAACGTTATACACGCTGCATTATGCAGATGACCAGGTAGTTATTGCCCAAGACAAGGAAGACCTAGAGTATATGGCTAGAAAACTAATGGAAGAGTACAAAAAATGGGGCCTCGAAGTAAATTTACAAAAAACGCAATATCTTTGCATAGGAGGAGAAAATACTGCAAATGACCTCGACTTAGAAGACGGGAAAATTAAGAAATGCGATCAATGTATATATTTGGGGGTAAAACTAACAAAGACAGGAAGAACTGATGAAGCCATAAAAGACAGAATAACCAAAGGGAAACGAGTTATAGGAGCATTGAATTCAGTACTATGGCAGAAAAATATAAGACCGGAAACGAAAAAAAGAATATATAACACAATATTGAAACCAGTAATCGTGTATGGCTCAGAAGTATGGCAGTTATCACAAAAACTTAAAGGTAACCTCTTGGCAGTTGAAATGGATTTTTGGAGGAGAGCAGCGGGAAAGTCTCGATTAGAACATGTGAGAAATGAGGACATAAGAAATCAAATGAATGTACAAAGATCAATTATAGAAGACATCGAAAAACAACAACTGACATGGTACGGACATGTTATACGTATGGGGGAAGAAAGACTACCAAAAAAAAAATATTAGAATGGGTACCACCAGAGAAAAGAAAACGAGGACGACCACCAACAACATGGATGCAAGGAATTTCAAAAGCCATGTCAGCAAGAAATCTATTTGAAGAAGACTGGCAGAATAGACAGGCTTGGCGAACGGGAACCCAAAGGCGGATTACGCTATAAACGGGATATATATATATATATATATATATATATATATATATATATATATATATATATATATATATATATATAATTCCTACTTTAAAATAAATTCGTATAAATACAATTATTATTTTTAAACGTTTTTCCGACATGTTCGAGTCGTCAGACGCGTTCAATGACCTATATTTATTATAATACAATTTAATTTTCGTGTTTTTCTCGTCTCGAAGTCAACATTAAGAAAACTGAAGCCATGTGTATTGGAGGGACAAAACAATCCGTTATATTAGACGATGGGGTAGAAATTAGAAACTGTGATGAATACAAGTACTTGGATATGAAGATAACTCAAGATTGAACACTCGATGCTGCTATAAAAGACAAACATACAGGGTAAAAAAGCCATATCCATGATGAACGGCATTCTGTGGGACCAAACAATATCTAAAGCAAACAAACAACTCATATACAACACCATACTTAAAAGTGTAATCACATATGGCAGTGAAGTTTGGCCAATGAAACAAAGAACAGAAAAACTGTTACTAGCAACAGAAATGGACTTCTGGAGAAGAGCAGCAGGCAAATCAAGAAGAGATCGGATACTAAATGAGAGAATACAAGAAATGATGTGAGTCAGGCATACAATAGTTGATGACATAAAAACAAAACAGTTAATATGGTACGGCCATGTACAGAGAATGCCAGATGACAGGATTCCAAAACAGATTTTGACGTGGACACCATAAGGGAGAAGGAAAAGAGGAAGACCGAGAAGAAGCTGGAGAGAAGGAATTGAAAAAGAACTAGAGGAAAGAGAAATCCCTCCAGGCCTATGGTTGAATAGTGAAGAATGGCGGTTAGGAGTCGGAGAATGCTGTAAACCGATAGTAGTCATCATCATCAATGGTGCTACAGCCCTATGAAAGAGCCTCGACCTTCCCAAGTCTATTACGCCAGGCAGTCCTATCCATTGCTAACCGTTGCCAGTTTGCTGCGCCTATCTTTCTACCGTCCTCATCTACACCATCCTTCCATCTGAGTTTTGGCCTACCCCTTTTTCTGCTTCCCGCGGGTTGTGACATAAGGATTCTTCTAGGAGGGTTGTTCTGCTGTGATCTTGCTAGATGTAGTAGTAGTAGTTTTTCTCGTAATATTTAAGCTATTTAATTAAAAAGAAAGCAGCATTTATAAATTCTCGGTATTTCGTAAAATCGACATATTTCAGGAAAATTAGAGGAACCAGAATTAGTACTGAGTTCCATGTATCCGATTTCCGACATACGAAAATCGTCTGTTTTCGTAGTTGCTATTTTTAAGTTAGTCACATGGTTGCGATTGTCGGATATTAAAATCAGTATAAACTGTCAATGGTAAATTTTTTGTTTATTGTTTTGATGGTAATTGCTGTTTTATAGGTAATGGATTTTAACAAGAGCTATGACCTTGTAAATAACAGGTAAACTTGTGTACTGCATCGGCATGACTCATAGCTCTTGTCAAAATCCATTACCTTTACCAGTTTTGCCTAGTAAAACAGCAAAAGGGGCTATTTCCATCCTTTCTCCTGCTTTCAACTATTCAGTTTATTATGGATAACGTAGAAGAAACTGTGTAAACTTATGAAATGTGCAATTAGGCATTCTAAGGTAATTGCAATATTTATCAACATCATTTAGCTTCATTTCCTGCAATAGGTTATTAAAAGCATCTTGTGACTTTATTTGCATAAATATTCCACAAATCGATTATTTTCTTTGCCGAATTGTACGTTTTGTTTTTATTTGTGAATTAAAAGAAGCAGAAGAACGTAGCTTCTTCGATTAAAATGCATGTGTGAATGTACAGATGTTAAACTATTGGAATACAATTAGATTACAAAACATCCGTTTTATCGGAAAAAGTTCAAATAATTTCATCTTTATACGATGTCCGAAGCGTAGTTAAAAATTTCGGATGAAATTCGGAGAGAAAATATTCTGATTCAATTCTGACCAATGAGAATACTTTCATCGTGTCGTTGGAAATTGGATACATGGGACGTCGCCTTTAGAGCCGCAGAACCAAAAAAGTCAGACTTAGCCTAAGCAATACTGAAAGTTTGGAGAGAGTACCTATCTATCATAAACTTTTTACTGACGGGAACTCTAACTGGACGTACTTTTCTTCTGATACCCGTTTTTATCTTCCTTACTTCCCTCTTTTCTTAAAGTCTCTTCATTTTTCTCTGTAGTCCTGTTTGTTTGATTTAATAACATTAAGGACCTATGTCACCTATTGCCAGTTGCAAGAACCAACAGTATACATGAAGAAACTAATGGAAACACACAAACATTAATAGTGTTCGCTTTAGAAAAAACAGCACGCAACATGGTCGTCTTCCAATTGACGAAATATGTACACAGAGGAAAGGACAAAGATGTGAAGAACTGGTTCAATAAGGAATATGGATGTGTAGCAAAAGCAAAACCTTGTATTATATTTACCATCTGATAAGCAGTAATTTTATACTGTTTAGGTAAATTTTTTTTTACCCTTTACTTACTCTCTTAGATCCTGGTTAAAACTATTTAAAATATTAATAATACTCAATATTCTAACTTTTTAATATATTTAACAATAATATAAGAATAAAAACATGTGCAAATTTTAGTAACTATTTTTTATGGTTGGTGGCAATCGCTCATCAGGATCTACACGAAGTATTTTGTCAGTCAAGACGATGTTATTGATAACTTTACGTTGACGGCTCTCTTCTTCGAATTTGCATAAATGGAACCCTTTTTTAAAAACCTCTTTACAGTTCTTAGGTAGATATTGTGGAAAAATCACGTTAAACCGTATAATCAAATTTCCTTTTTTAGGATACTGGTCTAAAATAGGCATCCCTTCATTTTCTATAATCTTCTCGTAGCCTGGGCTAAAAAATTAAATTTCAGTATAACAGAGAGGTATGTTTATATAAAGTACTCGTTTAATTAAAATAAATCAATTGCCATCTCTTTGGTCATGATACTATGAATAACAAGATAGGATCTTCCCGTGGCACAAAATCGGTCGTGTTCGCGCATGCCGTCATTGGAGAGTAGAATTTGAATTCTTGTTAAAGTTAAATGGGATTTGTATGCATTCCTGTGATGAAATTACTAGACGAAAATAAGTTAAAAGGTTCAATAATTACAATAATCGTACACATAAGGATATCTCCAAACTATTTATTATTTAAAGATTATTTATTGACACATACAAAAAACTGACATTTCGAACGTGCAACTCTCCAATGACGTCACGACTTATGCGCAATATCTTATCATAGTATCATGTCTTTGGTGTAGGTAAAAGTGAAAGCGATAAATAAATCTATGTTAATGCTGTGTGTACTGTGTGTCCAGTCTTACTCCCATATTTTCTAAACCATAAAACTTGGATTAAAAAACTTTTCAGTAACTAAATCACAATATCTGTTATTTGTTTTTATAACATTTTGTGGGCGTGATAATTAAAAACAGCGGACGAGAGTTATTGTTAGAAAAATAATAAGATAAAAGAAAGATAATTTTCTAATATATAGCTAGTCCAAGGTTTATCTACAGTTTATATGGTTTGATAGAATCGCCATGTGAGCAATGTGAGGTTGCCGAAGCTAGGTCCTTTTCAAGGTTAAGTAGGTATAGCTAAGGGGAATAAAAGAACACACCTTTACTAAGTTGTGTTTAGCTAGCATTGCTAGCTCACCAGCTCGTGCTTCAAGAATTAGGATACTTCACATTTCGAGTTCATGTCTTTTCAACATATTTGTATAACATACACAATATTGACCCAAATATTAAAAATATTTGATATTATATATTATTAATTAATCTTTCTAATACTTATAAAACTCTCAATAATTACTCTCATCATATCACACTAATAGTAATACCTAATTTAAAAGATTATTTCAAGTTTTTTAACGAAATATTTTTAATTGTGGCTATTAATCCACAACCAGGGTCGGACTAAGGCCTAGGCACGTGCCTAGTGTCCGTAATTTTTGAAGCCTGAAAATTAGGTTTTTTAATTTGTATAATTAATTTTTGAATTGATTGAAAATTGTGGAATTAAGACTGAATTGTCTAGACATGATTGCAAATAGATATATAATATAAAATACCACAAGTTATGAATATGGTATTGAGTAAAAATAAATTAAATTATAGACAATTTTCTTCTTTCTTTTTAGTATGTAATCTTTAAAATGAGTTCCAGTAAACATTTATGTTGAAGTGAACAAAAAAACGAGAAGCAGATCGAGATAAAGGGACAAAATAAATGAAAAGATCGTCGGACAAATGTTTGAACTGGAGATTGGAGAACAATTACAACAATTCTTATCATTTTCACAGATTTCACCTGCTCCAACTCCAGGAACACCCCTTGTGTACGAAATTATTCTGCAAAAACACCAGCAGGAAAATTCAAGCAATTCTGATTGTGAAGATGAAAAAAAGAGAGAATATATAAAGATATAAAGTCATTTCAAAGTAATGATGAAATTAAGAGTTTTGTAAACGATATTGCATTATGGCCAGAATTCTTAAAAGACACCAAGCGAGAGTATTATATAAAAAAATCATTTGCAGATAACACGTTTACGAATTGAATAGTGTCTTTACAAAAAAGTTTTTTGTTTAAAAAGAGAGCTGAGTGATGATTCTTGTGCATTTTTATTCCTACTTACTGTACAACGTCCGTAATAGGAATTCTAATTGTTCGATGATCAATTGTATCAACCGTTACAGTAGTTCCCAAAAGTGCATCTTCTAAACATATGTCTGCTGTCATTATTAAATTGTCACCTTCTCGAATAAAAGTTTCGTGTGGTCTATCTTCTATTATAAATATTACATCCGCTGAAACATTTTTATATTACTGATTAAACTCATATAAATAGTAGTAAATAGGAAATGATGCAATTATGGGCACATAAAGACAAAGTGTAGGTATATATGATTCTAGAGCTCTGGTCTTTTAAAAATTAGCTCTGCGAGTTTAGCATCGTTGTTAGCTTGCATTTTTTAAATTAGAAATAAAAATATAAATTCATAGTTTTATACTATAAACAAAAACCTTCTTCCAGAATACGTGGCAATAGAATAATTTTTTTTTATTTTTGTGAATTGGGCACATGCAGTAGCTGCAGAGAACTACTATCATATTCAGATACAGCAGACACATGAGATTTCTTGCGTCGGACGCTCAATTTTTTGGTTTTTGGGAGTTGGACGCATGTAGTAGCTGCAGAGCAATTGCATCGAACGCATTCGACAATCGCATAAGATAGACTGCACGTCAAAAGGAGTCTAATAGCGATTTAAATATAGCGAATAACTAATTATTGAAACAGCCGAAAGCTAAATCTTACGACGACTTTAGTAAAAGAGCACTCATGAGGCGCCCCCCAGTTTGGGAACTCCTGATTTAGAGCGTGTATCACTCTTACATACTACATAACGACACCGCTTCGTTGATCCTTTTCGTACAGGTATCAATAATAATCGATTCAAAAAAAAATAATTTGCTAATTGAGACATTTTTTATTTATTTTATTATTTCTTTTCTTTTTCAATAACTAGACTTTGTTTGGTATTTTTTGTCTTAAGTATGTGTTCACATGCACTTTATTGTTATTTATACTATACTACTAACCTAACCTAACATGTTTGTTTACACAAAAAACTGTACCTACTAAAAAATGGCTGACCAACGGATAAAGTTTTTCAATAAAATTGTAAGTGTTTCTATATAAAATTAAATAAATATTAAATATTTGAAATAATGAAAAAATTGATGATCAGTTGGAGATAGGGTTTTAAATGTAGGGACTGTAGTACAGATTTATTTGTAGTGTACCGTTTTATTTCTCTATTGCGAACAAAAGTCTATTATAGAGTGTAAATAAATTTTACTTATGTTGTTTGTCTGTCCGTAATAAAAACCTCAGCACCGGTTTAGCATAATAATAGCTAAACCTCAACGTATAACGACATATGAGATATTACATGACAATATATATATATATATATATATATATATATATATATATATATATATATATATATATATACATACATATATATATATATATATATATATATATATATAAATATATATATAAATATATATATATATATATATATATATATATATATATATATATATATATATATATATATATATAATTTGTCCGTCCAAAGAAGCAACAATAAAATGGCTTCAGTATGGACGATAATAAATCGAATCCAAAATTCATATTTTTGCTTTAATCTGTCCCTTCTAAGAATTGCAAGGCAAAATAGACGATGCTAAAAGATGGATCCATCTTTTAACATCGTCTATTTTGACTTGTAATTCTTAGAAGGCACATATTGAAGCAGAAATGTAAATTTTGGTTTCGTCAATAGAAATCTTCGGATTTCTACTTCCGTGATTTATTTTAATTTACCAGGTATCGTAGCAGGATTCTGATCAGCTTCTTCTGGAAATACAATTTCAGTTTTTTGTTTAATTCCTGGTTTAATAGGTACATTCAAAATGTGTTCTTTAACTTCTGTGACAGTTCTTTCATCGTTATTGAACTCTAATCTATGAATTTTCATTTTCTTTACACCGCCAAAATATATTTCGTGTAAAGTTAGATGTAATGGATGTTTTATTGGATCTTGCTTTTTCTTAATACATTTTGTACCATCTGACAATTCGTGTAACAAGGGTGGGTTCTTTAGAACATCTAGTAAGTCTGCAAATGGCGAAGAAGTTCCAAAAAAGTCTCTAAAATTAAATACAGGTGCATGTAATATATGATATATTTTTTTATGCTACCTACTTGTATGTAACCATAGGTTCGCCGTGATATCGATAAGCTGGAAAACAACCATCTACTGTAGGTACTCCTCCTTTTAGTCCTTCTTCGCCATACTGATCGAAAACTGCTCTTCTTGCAGGATCGCTAAGAACATCGTATGCCTCTCCAATAAGAGAGAAAACCTGTCGTGCATGGTTATCGACAAGTAATCGTTTATTAAATTCTAGCGCTAAATTTCGATATCTGAAACAAAGTTTTGCTTACAAAAAAAAAATAGATAAGCACAGTTTTACTTTCAAAATGGATGTAAAAAAAATAAAATTATATTGATTAAATACGAACGCTTTTTTTATATCCAAGTCTGTGCTATGTCTTGGTATTTGTAAAATTCCATAATAATCGAGCCCCATTTTTAACTATTTTGACATAATATTGACAGAAGTGACTAAATTCTATTTTCATAAAACTGTAAAAACACAATAAATATCTTCTTTGTCAAATTTTACTTTATTGTGTTTTTACAGTTTTTTTGTCCAGCTACTTTTTGATATTTAGCCAATTCTTTATCTTTTTTCCACGATCTATGGCAATTTGTGGTCTAATTAATATTTGTCTTCTATAACTATATTTTGTAGGCTTTCTCCTAAATATTTTTCTTCTTATCTTCTTAGGTTTACTTTAGAACAAAATTAAACATTGAGATTAGCGGATTGTGGCCACAGAAAACATCAGCTCTAGTATAAACTTTAACTGAAGTGATGGCATTTCGGAACTTTCTTTTAACTAATATAAAATCTTTGAGATATAGGATAATATTCACGATTTCAGCTTTAGTCGGCAAAATTTGATATTTTTCTAAAAATTAAGTAGTTGTATATTGTTTATCATTATAAAACAGTAAGCTTTTAGTTTTAAAGAGCATAGACGTCTTAGAAGAGAGGAAAAATTTATCCATCGACGTAAGAAGAGGGAATAGGAACAGAACACTATCAGTGAGATACAAAGTTTTTTCGGTAAAAATGGAACGAAGAAATACTACAAATCCTTAAATACTAGCAGTCGATAATTTAAACCCCGATTAAAAATTTGTAAAGGCACTAACGGTGAAATTCTACATGATAAAAACTCAGTTGTTAACAGATGGGCACAACATCTCAGCGAACATCTAAATATAAACAATATTAAAGGAGGTTACAACAAAGAAAATCAACAAAATCTACAACTTCAACTACACAGTGAAGACCCAACAAGAGAAGAAGTGTCATATGCGATCCTAAAACTCAAAGAAAATAAAGATCCAGGAATCGATGAAAAAAATGGTGATGATCAACGTTTTGCAGCAATCCATCTAACCTTCTTATCTATGATCTAATAGTAGGTATTCTCCATAGAGAAATTTTCTCTATGGTATTCTCCATTCGCTTAGCTCGGGCATATTTTGACAGATTTGGACAGATTCATTGTCGGAAACCTACAACACAAAAATTCCTACTTCTCAGTATTAATAGCTCAAATATACTACTACTGCAGACTTCTTGCTTAAAAAAAAAGAAGAATTATTCCAAATAGTGGAAGTGTATACTAAACCCATAACATTTTCCCTGTATATTTAAAATATAATATTTGAGTTGTTACAATTGAACATATTGTAGTAAATATTTGTATTATTCTTTAAAAGTTAATATTTTTAGATGAGTAATGATGCTGTTAAATTACGAGGTAATCATATTATATGGCAGAATATGACAAAATTGTTTTTAAAGATCATTCATAAACGCATTTACAAAACACTTGATATGGATATTAAAGAAACTCAATTTGGATTCCGTAATGGCGTAGGTACCCGTGAAGCTCTCTTTGCATTCGACGTACAAATCCAGAGATGTTTGGATGTGAACCAAGATATGTACGTCTGTTTCATAGACTACAACAAAGCTTTCGACAAAGTCCGCCACAAAGAGCTAATGGACATCTTCAAAGCAAAACAACTACAACACAATGACCTTCAAATTATAACAAATTTATATTATAAACAGCAGGCACACGTACGCATTAATGAACACACATCAGAAGAGTTCGAAGTTAAAAGAGGGGTGCGAAAGGGGTGTGTATTGTCTCCACTACTATTCGATGCATACTCTGAAGAAATTATGAAAAGAGCTCTTGAGGGAGAAACAGCAGGAATCAAGGTCAATGGAACACCAATTAACAACATTAGATATGCGGACAATACTATCATAATAGCAGACAACCTCCAAGACCTCCAAAAGCTAATGAACAAGATAGTTGAGTATGGAGAAGAAAATGGATTATCAATAAACACCAAGAAAACCAAATTTATGAGGATATCAAAAACCCAAAACAATGATGAAAGCCTGACAATTAACGGTAGTGCTTTAGAACAAGTTGAAAACTACCACTATCTTGGCACAATAATTAATCACACAAACGATTACTCCAAAGAAATCAAAGTTCGAATAGAAAAAGCACGTACTAACTTCAATAAAATGAGAAAGGTACTTTGTGCAAGAGAACTAAAATTAGACTTGAGAGTTAGGCTGGCAAGGTGCTATATTTTCTCGACTCTTCTTTATGGGATGGAAGCATGGACACTTAACGCGTCGACTGCTAAAAAGTTGGAAGAATTTGAAATGTGGGTGTATAGAAGAATCCTGAAGATATCATGGACCGAGCATGTGACAAACAACGAAGTCATGAGAAGAATTAACAAAAGAATGGAAGTATTGGAATCCATCAAGACACGAAAGCTGTAGAGAAATGAAATGAAATCAGACAAGGTAGAGTTACCTCTAACTAGAGCTGTCCTCCTAGAGTGCCATGTCTAGAGTGTCCTCCTATGGAGTAGAAAGCTGGAGCTTTACAGAAGATGCCGTAAAACGATTCGAGGCATTTGAAATGTGGTGCTACCGACGTATGTTGAGGGTCTCATATATAGGTACACCACACAAATATCATAACGATTCTCCAAAGGCTAAGAAAAGACAAAGAAATTATTAACACCATAAAAAACAGAAAATTGGCTTACTTCGGCCACATCATCCGTAATGGTAAATACCGACTTCTACAGTTGATTCTACAGGGCAAGTTAGCAAGATCAATGTGGTCGCCAACATCTCTAGAAGATAGGCACATTTAGAAGAAGACATATCCTTCACGTTCTCATGAGTTCTTTTTGTTCTTTTCTTGAATGTTGTCTACAAAGAATCATTTTTACCTTAAATATTTTTTTCATTAATACTGATTTTTTGTTGTTGTTTCTCTTCCATATAGGTGAAACTTGAAATTAATGTACCTATATACTTGTATATAGATGATCGACTAGAACTCTACAGAAGTTAGAATTTCTCCAAAATGTTTTGTTAAAACCTTGGAGCTTTTCTTCATCATCCACCCTTCTGCGTCCAAAGTTGAACATAGGCCTCCCCTAATTTCTTCCAAGTCTTTCCGTCTTGAGTTACTTGCAACCAATTCCCAGCGGTTTTCTTACTCTTAAGGTCGTAAGTAAATGCGTATCATTCGGTTTTATAATTTCGTTTTGTTAATTCTTTTTACCTATACCATCACGTCCAGGGACGGGTCCCAGTTCTAAAATATATTATAAGTACTTGGATATGGCACGATATTGTTTAATGGATTGTATATTTCACGTTGGTAAAATTGTATCTTAATATTTGCAATGTTTGTCATACTGTTATGAAGGTCACTACTTGCTCAATGTCATTAATGTCATTAGTCATTCGTATCGGTTTGGCTTTTGGCGTTGGCAAATTTTAAAACTAAACATCTTTGTTTAAATTTTTTAAAACATGAGTGCTGCCGCTGTCGTTCTTTTTGCGTGCTCTCGCTGCTTTGCTCGACATCCGTTTGAAGATTTATCTCCAGGACAACAACTTTGTAAAGTGAGTATCAACCAAACATAACCTACTTCACTTTCAAACGATCTTTTTGTTTGAAAATCAAACGTAGTCTTTAATTTAGATCATTTTGCGTAAGAAACATATTTGTTTTGTCCAATTAGGAGTGCCGCGGGGCTTTTCCAGTAGTTAAATGCACTTATTGTCGTTCGGAATTTCAACAGACCTCCAAAGGAAATACTAGTACAATTTGTAAAAAGTGTGAACAGAACGTTAAATCTTACGGAAAGCCAACTGCTTGTGAGTATTGCAACATCATAGCTGCGTTCATTGGAAATAAATGTCAAAGGTGCACAAATTCAGAAATTAAATATGGTCCTCCAGTCAACTGTGAACAGTGCAAGCAAAAGTGTGCTTTTGATAGACACGATGATGATAAAAAGGTGAAGTATTAAAAATTTTTATGAAAATTCCAGTATGTGAATTTTTGAATTTTTAGGTTGATGGCAAGCTTTTATGTTGGTTATGTACTCTTTCATATAAAAGGGCATTGGCTAAAACAAAACAAGGAGATGCTGAAAGAAGGCACCTAAAAATGGCCCAGTTGCACAAGAAACATAAAGATAAGTGAGTGGTTTTTGAAAGCTGAGATATGAGACATTTGTCAAATTTGAACCAGAAAGTAAATATAGATATAGACCTTAGTAGGTCCACAATATAGTATGTAATGTGTGTATCAAACATAATTCAGTGTTGCAGGGTTTTCAAGGTTTACCAAATACTTCACAAAAATGCATAAGATTGTTGGTTTAGGTCAGCAGTGGCCAACGCTTCTTGGTAGTGTGCCACTATCTGTTTATGAAACGTTATTTGTACCACCAAACATTTACTAACAAACATTTAAATAGGTGGAATTAGTATGAAATAACACAAAACATTTTTACATACAAATTTGGAGTTTATTATTATTGTAGGGGGTAGTGTGGCTTTTGAATCTGAATTTTATTTATTAAATTTTAAAATTTAGGGTTCATTTTGAACAATATTGTTATTTAATAACATTCATAATAAAAAACATTTCTTCACAAACATAATGTTGAACTGAAACAATACTTCAAACAAAATTATGAAGATGTGCAAAATCAACTGTGGAAACATTTCAAAAATTCAGTATAATCTGTACTATATAATTGCTTGTACCTCATATAAGCTCTTTATGTTTATTTTTCAACTGATATAGAAAAGGATTAGTGCAAAGTGAAATATTTTTCTTTTCTTCCTGAAAATGCCAAAATCTTATACTAAATAAGCTTTGAAGAGTAAAAATTATAAAGTTATTAATTTAAAATATTATTTAATTTGATGTCTAATTCCTTTATAAATTTGAAATAAGTCAGATTTGGTAAATCTGACTAAAAATAAGGAAGGTTGGCAAAATACAATATTTTCCTTGTAACCTTAAATTTAATATGTTCAAATACCCCATTATGTCTGTAAGGAAAGCTGACTTCTATTGTTACCTTTCATTTCTTTTGGATCTTTGACAAACTTTCTAGTATCATCTTTGTTCATTTGAGTTCAATAAGTTTTTCTACAATTTTTCCAATTTGAACTGTAAAATTTTTAATATACAGTAATAGTTGTACAAAATCCCACTACAGGATCACTATACTCATAATGTAGTTCATCAAACTCACAGTTTTACATATATTTAAAATTAGAATACATTGATAATAGGTTTCCAGCAAAAAGTGGCCACAAACATTTTTAATTCAAGTAATAGTAATTAGTTTTTGACAAATATTTTATTTTGTTCATTTATTTTTTAAATAAAATATGCTGCTCATGAGGTATATGCATGTTATCACATTGAAGCTAATTTTTTTCTTAACACTTTCACTGCCATGAGAAGCATAGCATAATGCACATGTAATATAACTTTACAGCTGTGAGAAACAAATATCGATTCTCACACATCATCATCATCATCTTTGGCTTTACAACCCTGGGTGGGTCTTGGCCTGTTCAAGAATTAGTCTCCATTCCCCCCTATATAGGTATTATAATACATACATTCCAACTGCCTGTGAGTTTTCCTTCTCTCCAAATGGATGTAACAAGTTTTATTATGTATTTTTTTAGCGTGTTTGCTCCATACTTGAACAGCTCAGGGGTTATACCATCTTCTCCAGGGAATTTGTCGTTTTTTACCCTTTTTATTGCCTTGGCAATTTCTTCTTCTGTTGGTATATTATTTTTCTCCCTCCCATCGTCTATGTCTCCACTGTGGTCATTTATGTCAGTCACTTCTCGGTTGTCTATATTTAATTTCTCAGCAAAATTCTCCGCCCATCTCTCCACTATTTGATCCGGCTTCCTTACTTTTTATTATGGTTATTCTTTTATTAAAGCTGCAAGGAGCAGTTATGGCCTCTCATATCAATGTATCATTAATGCAGTTTAAAATTAGATGGCTGTAAGCAACAGAAACTCTGAAATATGTGAACCAATGTTCCATTCTCACAGCCTGAATAGTGGGTTACTGATAAAAACTGTATACTCAAGTCAACTATTATTTATTTATTTTTTAAAGAAAATTTCATTTCCATACATTGTTATTTTAATAAGAAATTAACAAAATTTTATTTTGTACATTTGTGTATTTCAAGAAACAACTAAAAAAATAATGCTTATTTTATTGCATACAAAGATATCTTGACTCAGGAGTTTTCAATTGAGCATTTTTTCATCCAGTTTAGCAATAGTTTCATAACAAACAACACAAAACTGGAACCTATGTGTTCCAACAAATGACTGCTGTTAGCATTAGGGTTTTGTTGAATGGATTTTACTATGTCATAGTTATTTCCTCATTTCACACTTCTTTTTGTAAAATATGGGATTTTACTAATGTAGTACCCACAAGCAGTTCAATTGCTAACTTTGTGTTAGGTGGTGTATGTTGTCATTTGGTCAGACAGATCGATGTACATTTTATGTTTATTGTAGTTACAACTTTTGGTTTTGTTTGTCTTCTGTGAGTTTGACAGTGTGATTTATACTTAGAGTATAAACATCGCTTTTGTCTTTAATTTTGATACACCACTCCTGTACTACTTTCAGCTGCAACTGGTTGTCCCTTTTGCAATTTTGTATCAATTATATGTTTGGGATTTAATTTTGGGTTGATTATCAGAGTTCCAACTAAATGAGTGTTGGAACTATATCATGTAGTATATTGTATTATGAATAATACAAGGTGAAATGAAATTAAGTATAATTAAGACAATTAATTCATAGATTACCTGTGGTAATTGATTGGATTACATTAAAATAAATGCTGAAAATGTTCTCCACCTTGTTGTTGGCAATAACAGTCTCCTATAAAACTCGTCCCGAACTTTGTTTAAAGTTTGAGGTAAAATATTCTGTATTTCTGTAGTTATCCTTTCTTGGAGGTCTTCAATGCTAGTTGGTTGTGTGTTACTACTCAATAGTACCTCTTCGTCCAATCCATTTATTGAAGAAGATTTTGTTGAAGTAATTTCTCACCATTAAAGCATAATGTGGTGTTGCACCGTCCTGCTGAAACCAGACAGTTTCATGCGGTAGGGTCTCATCTATTGGATTGGGATATAAGTTAGCCAACTGAGGAAGAACATCATCTCTTAGCATGCTTAAATATTTTCCGCTGTAAAATTACCATCTAAAACTATAGGACCAATAATATGATCTCCATAATACCTGCCCAAACATCCAACTTTTGAGGATACTGATTGTGTGTCTCATGCATCCAATGAAGATTCTCTGCTGACCAATATCTACAGTTTTGTCAGTTTACCTCTCTGTTCAATCTAAATGTTGATTCATGAGAAAAAAAAAATTGTGCCAAGAGCTATTTAATTTGTGTTAATCTTATCCATAATTCTTTCGCAGAAATCCATTTTACAATCTGGATCGCCCTCTGTTAGCTCCTGCACAAAAGTTAATTTATATGGATGAAGTTTGTCTTCATGGAGACACCTTGGGATAGTTGTGTGACTCACATTATTTTGACGTGCAATTTGATGTGAACTTGACGTTGGATTCTCTGCAACACTTAACAAAATATCCACTTTCACCTCTTCCAACCAACAACTGATTGATAACAATCCGGATTATTTACCGATTTAGTTTAATTAGTAGACTATCTAGACAGTTTTTACCTATTCATGACAAAATATGTTAACACAGTTACGAAACAGAAATTTTCCCCAATATACTGACACTTAGAGTAAAAGTGAATGACACTACCGCAGAGATAAACCGCAGAATTTGCACGGCTAAGAGATGCTATTTTGGCCTTAATCTCCTTTTTAAATCTACAGTTATATCAAGAAATGCAAAAGTAAAACTCTACAAAACAATAATACACCCAGTCCTAACATATGGTTCAGAAACCTGGACTTTAACAAAAAGCAATGAAAACATGTTAGGATGTTTCGTAAGAAAAATACTGAGGCGAATCTATGGAGCGGTAAATGAAAATGGTGCCTGGAGAAGACGATACAACTTTGAACTCTATAGAATATACCAGGAACCAGATATCATAAAACACATTAAGATATGATGTCTGAGGTGGGTAGGCCATGTAATGCGGATGGAGCAAACTGACCCAGCTAGAAAAACGCTCCTTGATAGACCTATTGGTCAAAGAAGAGGAAGACCCAGAACAAGATTCCTAGATAACATAGACCAAGATATGAGAAATATGGAAATATGTGCTTGGCGGAGGAAGACGATGGATAGGGACGACTGGAAGAGAATTCTTCCAGTCGTCCCACTAGGGGAGGCTAGGACCCACACAGGGTTGTAAAGCCAAAATGATGATGATTATAGAGTAAAAGTGTATTGTCTGTATTTAGCTAATTTAAAATAATAACATGTGATAAATTATTAATTTCAAAATTTTACCTTGTATTATTCATTATAGAACCTACATGATATAGTTTGTTGAATCAGGTTGTTAAGAATCTTTTAAAAACATAAAAATATAAAGGGTGTTTCATTAAAAATAAGGGTTATGGACTATGCAAGACTTGCATGGATCAACCTGTACATTTAAATTTATGTTTAAAAAGCGCACATTTAAATTTAAAAGTTAACATGTCCCAGAGTTTTTTATTATTTTCTTTAATAAGGACAAATAATTTTATTCCATAAGTGGTTTCCACACTGTATATCTATTGACGCATGCCTTACAAACTCACACAATTGACACTTCAAATCAGTATCATTGTATGCTAGCTATCTTTTATTTTATATTTGATACCTTGTGTTTTTAACAACTGGCAACAATAATTTTCAACCATTTTTCCTCAGGCAAACTTATATCATCATATTAAGAAAATAATTAGCTTTAATTTGATATAAAAAATATGCATATACGTCTTCAGCAGTATTTTATTTAAAAATAAATAAATGAAATAAATTATTTGTCAAAAACTAATTACTTTTAATTGAATTAAAAATATTTGCGGCCACTTTTTGACTAGCAACCTATTATCAATGTAGTCTTCCAATTTTATATGTATGTAAAAATGTGAGTTTGTTAGTTATGTTTGTTATAGTTTTATATGTATGTAAAAATGTTATAAACATTGTGATCCTGCACTGGAATCTTAGGCTATAAGTTAAGTTTTGGTTCTCGTCACTTTGCCATATAAACAGTTGTTATATTTTTATTCTCATTTTTTACATGGAAACTTTCTAATGTGCACCAGTCATACTGCGGTTCGTTGGCTTCTTGCACATCTTTCATTCACTCATAATATCCATTCCAGGATTCTGGACCCTATACCAGCTTATACAGGTCGAAAGGATGGGTTCCATATGTTTTTGGAGTTACTTGCTACTCTCAAAAAGTGTTTGCCACCTATGATCTAATGATTTGCAGTTATGCAAAGTATGGTTGACTTTTTCAGGTCCTTTGCTACATAATATGCAGCTTAAGTGTCAATGAAACAGTCTCATTCTATGCACGTATTGCTTAACTAGCACATGTCCAGTAAAAAGTTCTGTTATGATTCTGAGCTGAGTCCTCCTTGTTTTCGGCAGTACTTCAGCTGTATAGCATATGTCTGTTCAATATACATTTGGCCATGTGCTTTACTGAGTACATTTTCCCAGTGAGAGTTATGTTGCCTTCAGATCCAGGATTTTTACCTCTTCTACTCTTCTGGCAAATGCATCAGCTCTGTTATTGCTGTGTACTCCCACTGACCCCGAACTCATATCAGTGTAGGACTTTTAGTTCCGCCAGTTTGTAGAGTACTCTTGGCATTTGCGTTACATTAACATTATCATAGAAAATTAACATTATCGGTTAAAATTTGACAGTGTTATCTTAAGTAATAAAAAAAAGATAACAAGGTAGACTTTTTACAACTAGCCTTTGATAGAAAAAGGAAAAGATTATAAAACTAGACTAAACAAGTTTTTTGGAATTAAATCGATTTATTTCTCAACATAGTCCCCTTTTAGCTCGATACACTTAGTAAGATGACGTTCCAATTTTTTTATCCCATCCGAATAGTACTTTTGCTCGAGCTCTTCAAAATAGGCCGAAGTTTCAGCGACGACTTCATCATTTGTTGCGAAACGGCGTCCTCCGAGCCATTTTTTTTAAGTTTGGAAACAGGAAAAAATCGTTGGCGGCAAGATCTGGGTAATACGGTGGGTGTTCAACCAATTCATAGCCCAATTTGTGTAATTTTGGCATGCCGACGGCCGATCGGTGAGCCGGTGCATTGTCTTGGTGAAAGAGCACTTTTTTGCGTTCCAAACCGGGTCGTTTTCGACGCAATTCTGCATCGAATCGATCCAATTATGCTGCGTAGTACTCACCATTGATTGTTTTTCCTTTTCCCAAGTAGTCGATGTGGTTCGCATCCCAGAAAACAGTCGCCATCAAAAGATATCTTTTTTAGTTACCGCATTGAGCTGTCGGTAGTCAATACAAAAACGCTTTAAACCATATTTCTTCGTCTTCAGCTTCAACTCTTTTCGCAAATGGAAGTCGTCTAGGTTGTCTGATTGACTGAGCGTCTCCGGTATTAATTTTATGCTTTACTATGCTTGTTTTTCCTTTATCCTTCTTATCAATGGCAAAAACATCTTGAAATTCTATCAGCATAGACTTCACTTTTTTAGTTCGTATATCGTCAAGATAGATCTTGTCACGTTTTAATCACCATCTCAACCAGCTAGATTTCGATGGTTTCTCATTGGTATTCATAGAACATATCGAAGTCACGGGAATACACTGTTCGATCAAAGTTCTTTTACTTAACTTAATAGCAGTTCCCCTAAATGCATAACTCTTACGGGAATGACATCTCGAATTCTCACCAAAGCTTTTGCCGTTAGAAACTCGGCATTGTTCCCATCTTCGACCATCCTTAAACTTCCTTCTCGGCGGTAACCATCAGGTCTGGTCATCAAAATTTTCTCACTATTACTGGGTACTGTTACGTCACAAGTAGTTATTAAGCTGATAACATCTTCTTTGTCTCTATGGAACGGCAACTCTTCACAATTGATCTCGAGAACTCCATTTTTGACATTCAATACAGCCTCAACTTTCCTTAGTAAATCCATCCCCAAACTCGTCGGAGATCTTTGCAATTAATACTCTATATTTCACTGTGGTCTGGCTAATAGATACTGACATATGAGCCTCGATATATGTATTCATTAAATCCCCAGTTACTGTTCTACGCTTGACTGTTGCAGGCGATAATTTAAGATGGCCTCGTACTACTTCTGTGCGTGCAATAGTTCTTGTTGCACTTGTATCTACCAAAAACGGTCTACATTTATTATTGATACGACCCTCGATGTACAATCTATGAATTTCGCTGGAGGACGTAATGTTAACGGTGTCTATGGGGGCTGTGTTTCTCGAGGTCGGCAGTTGGTCCTTGGTGTCGACCCGTTCTAGATATTAGATAACTTATATCCGTGTTACATATATTACATTTTTTAGTTTCCAATTGTAATATGTTGTTGAAATTGTTTTTATTTTTTAATTAGGCCTCGAAGCCATAACAAACGGCCAAATCGTCCAGATGTTACAAAAATACCACCACCGGAAGATGTGCCTCCAATCAAAATTGCCCGCAATAACTCCGGCGGACCAGGAAGAGGAGACCTTGATCCAAATAGTTCAGATCATGTAGTTGCGATGACACAACTTAAAGAGCAAATTGCCAGCCTTCAAAAACAGTTATCCCAGAAGAATGCGGAGCTACTCAACAAAGATAAAACGGTTTGTATATTTGGAATACTTTTAGTCCAATAATTTCAAACAAGCAATTGTACTTCGTAAGTCCTTGGTTTTCATCCAACTGACCGGAAGTGAATGTTTGAATCCTTTGTATAACTTTGCGTCAAATGATAAACGATTTTACTAATTTCTAGTCTTGTTTTCCAAACTTTATAACCGAAATGACATCAAAATCGGAACTAAATATTCGAACTTTTCAATACGCGCCGATTGATATACAGGGTGACAAAAATAAATTCAATCAATTTATTTTTGTCCCCGGAATGCGTGATTTAATTTATGACATACCGTTTTGAAACACCCTGTATCGTATGTACTATTTCGGCGACTTAAAAACATTTCTTCCAGTTGCAATTCTGGAACCGAAAGTCCTTGAATTAGGTTCGTAACTTCATCTGATATTTCACTTTCAGTCATAATGTTATATCTAGGGTCACCTTCATCTAGTTCTAGCCATTGTAAAACTTTCTTAGCTACCTGTTCTCCGGTATTATTATGTATTGTCCTACAGACATTAGTAACTTCCAACCCTTCTAAATCTATGTCTGCATATTTGCCATCAAACAAATTCTTTTAACCATTTTTTTAATGTTTGCTCTTTCACCTCCTCCAGTTTCTGAGTTTGCTTTTTTATACAATATTGATCACATTTATGAGACACAATCTCCCAGACTCCAACTTTTGTATAATCTCTAGTTTTTGATTGATTCTTTCTTTTACGTTCGTCCATATTTAAAGGATAATCACCGTGGTAAACATCCATATAATCATAGAAACCTACGCGTTATTATATCAGGGAATCCCTTAATAATATGTGATGTTTCACTTTCTGTCTCTTGTCAAATGTGTAAATTTATATCTCATGTGTGTAGATTCATTATATTATGTTTAGGATGAAATAGTATGTTTCTCTTATAAATGCTTTATTGATTTATTTATTTTTCAGCAAAAAAAATATATACATATTGCTATTAGAAATGTATCTTTTTATGCAATTTTTTTACATTTGACCGGATTTTTTGTCCGTTCTATCCGAGGTCCGTTATATCGAGGTTTTACTGTATATATTACTATAATATAGTGAAGTATATTTAATTTCAAACGTGTAAATTTTGTTTCAGATAACAGAATTGAAAGCCACAAACTTCACAACTGAGAATGAGCTGAGACAAAGATTAAAAAACATCCAAAAAGAACATGAAGATAAGGTAGATGGCTTGAATACCAAAATACAAAATTATCTCAAAGAAATTGCGAGCCTGTCTAAGTCCGCCAAAAAAGGAAACAAAAATGCTTCATTGTCAGTCAACAACACTACCGCTGACAACAGCAGTGGAACGGACAGTCCGAGTATACAATAATTTGTATGCGAAACCACATGTTGATAATTTACTGATATCATTTTGGAGAAAATATCCTATTTTTAAATTGTGATGCGATGGTAGGTGGTAACTTTTGAAGCGTTGTTAATTTGTACAGATATGGTAAACTTTTATCTTATTTCTGCCCTTTGTACACTTGTTTAATGGTTTATAAAATGATTAGAAAGTTTCTTTATATAGCTGTGGTCTGTTCATAAACAAACATACATTTTAATAATATACCTACTGTTTATTTTGGCAAACACTGTATTGTAAAATTGCGATTCACCTTAAGTTAATATTTCTAATACTCTTAAAGACAATATGATTTTTGTAAGTGAGAATATCATCATCCTAGTAGAATGATTGCCTCTTTCTTCTTAAGATTCAATTGTCACATTCTCCTTTTTTCATAGTTGTCTGTCATCTGACTCTGCTTTAGTTACATTGTTTCGTTATTTTCTATTTTGACATATTTCTGTATCTTATTTTCATTATATATATATATATATATATATATATATATATATATATATATATATTTATACGTACATACCACATGATTTTTGTAGCTGAGAGATAGGTATCTGAATATTCAATGACTCATCCGCAAAAATATCCTTACAAAAAATTTGCTTTGTATATATTATCTTCATAATTCAGAAAATTTTCTATTTTAATTAGTTATCAATTAAATCTCGGACGATGTTTATATAACCTTTTTATTACTCTTACCTACAAGAAAAGTTAAATAAATTTTCTCGACTTGTAATTAAGTGCAAACAACCAAAGAAAATTTCAGAAAATACTCAAGTTTTGTAACAGATATAGTGCTTCTTTTTATCATTCAAGCTACTCATCTAGCCTGGCCCTCTTGGTGAGGTTCTACAACTTGTCTCCGAATATAGCTTGACGTTTTTGTATTTTCATCCTTAAGTTCTAGATGCCTCAGTCTTGCAAAGCCTTCGCAGTGGCATAAGATGTGCAAAGCGGTCTGGTTATCTTCTGGACAGAACCGACAAACAGCCTAATATGCCAAACCCATATTACTTAAATGCTTTTTGAGTCTAGTGTTCAATTAGCAGTTCCACTAATATCTTATTTTCGGCTAGGGCTTAGTAGGTTTGCTGTAAAAACTGAGGTTTCTTTGATAAACTCTTTAGCCTGCATTATCCTGGTGCATTTCTTCATCCTTCGAGACTTTTGCTTTCATGACAACTAGAAGAGTGTGTCCAGTTTATCAGTCTTCTTACTACCCTGTTAGCCCTACGTCCTGCTATCTATTCTAGTGTCAACCTACTTTGATTTTCAACTGGAGTAAATACATTCAGTCAAGCTATATGAATCAGAGTGCTTTTAAGTTTCTAAAGTGTTTCTAAGTTTAAGTATTTCCAAAGTGGAATCTTCCTTTATTTCCTGATATAAACTTGCCGGTCTATCCCCTTGTATAGATTATACTTATATACCTAAAACTTACAAGCATAAGCTTTACCCCGCAGCAACCTGTGCACGTACAGTCAAACATGAATGCCTTTGAATACCACTAAGCAGTTAAAATGTTCCAGACTGTGTTTTTCGTTCCGCCAAATATAGCCATGGCCGTTCAAGTCTTGAAGAAGAGTACTATGGACAAATTTATATCACTCGATTGAATGAATACAATGTCAACCTATCGCAATGGGCATTAAAAAAATTTAAATTAATAAACTAATTGATAACAATACATGATTCCTTTTGAAGGCACGATCAACACGTAATGTTAAATGGTTTAATCGGAATCATCTGATCTCTTGGCATAATAAAACCTTGCGGGAGGTGCATTATAAGTATAATATTTTGCCATATCTGTATATTTTATTTTTATTTTAAATTTTGATATTGGTTTACTGATTATTATTTTCAGTTGGCCAAAATATTTTTAAATGTAATTGTGATTTAAAAACGTCTAAATTATGTAATTTAGAGCGTTTGGCAAAACCTATTTTACTTTTACACACATTTTTAAATCTTTTGCATCATGAGGTAATAATAAACAAACAAAATAAAAGCAAGTATGGTTTTCGTTTAATTTATAAAATAAGGACGCAATTAGCAGAGAGTAGCCCAACTAAGAAAATAATTTTTATTGTCATAAATAAGGAAAATTTATTATTTAAGTTATAAGGCAACTTTTAATTACAATAACATTGTTTAACTCCTCGTTTTGTCAATATGACAGCCTCATGATTACCATAATTTACAAATATGTGGAATTTACATGCGGCATGCATAAAGAAATTATTATTATAGTCTATTAACTTATCTATAGACTCAGTCTATTAAGTTATTATTTCTACATTTATATAATTTGGCTATCCCACATTCCAAATTTCGCATATTCTTTTAATTAATGAATAATAAATTTATCATACACGCTGTCATGAGAACTGTACATACTTCTACTTCGTTTGGAGGCCCCTATGGGGAATAACAAAGGACCATGATGAAACACTGGAAAACGCTAGGAGTCCTTTGCTCCACTAGGAACCTATATACGATATCCAGGGTGTCATGAAAAAATGTACATTTTAATCCTCCCATATGTATGGGAGGCTTATAGAGCCTCCCATACGAGGTAGGAATAAAAAAAATGACCATTAAACAGTGTCTCCCATTGTTTAATAATATACAGGGCGAGTTGTGAATTTTGACTGAGATATTGTTACGTGTCTGCTCCATGAACTGCTCCATAGAACTGATATATGAGTTTGGAATCAACGCAGGTTTGTTCACTTACTGATGTTATTCGAAAACCAGACCTTCCCCATCAAAAAGAATTTTGCACAATGCTTATTCTCATTTATATGCCACCTTCTGCCATATTTATTATTTCATTTTCCTTTGTTTATTTAGAAGATGTATTTTAATTTCACTTCCTCATAAAGTTCTGTAGAAAAACTGTTTATTTACCTTTATTCCACCTCTGTTTAAAGACTTTTGTTATTAAAGGCAATGCAAACAGTCCTGACTATGGAGCTGCGCGAAGGCGGAGTCAAAATTCACGGAAAGGCAGAAAGGTTCTCTTGTAAGTGGAATTATACAGTACATATTACAATGCGTTTCGCATGGAAGTGGGGACTAAACCAAATTTCGTCTAATGCGCCATGGTCAGGAGTGCTTGCATTATCTCTACTGATAGCTTATTTATTATAATTTTTATCAGACCGATCCCGTTAAAGACCTTGCTGGTTTGAATTTACCGTGCCCCTTCTTCTTTTGGCATCATAACCCTGGATGGGTCTTTGCCTGTCTGGCTAAATCCTTCCATTCAGATTCCCACTGTGGCCCTTACTAGTTCCTATCCTAAAATCATGTAAGATTGTCAGAATAGCAATTAACATTAACTAACACAGCAGTAATTGCCACTGAATACATGTCGAGCTTTCAATCGTCTCGCTAAGGGCTAAGGCTAAAGAGAAAATACAGGATAGAAGTGTCAAGTATTCGTAAAATATATATACTCTGTATATATGTAAACGGACCGTATACTTGTCAATGACATAAATTCCTAGTAATTTCTCTCAATATCTTAACACGAAAACTAATATAAGTGTCAGGTGTAATAAAATACGCCATTGACGCAACATCTACACACTTGTGCCCTTATTCTTGAATTTCAGGGAGTAGAAATTTCAAGAGAAAGTGACGTAAAAGTAGGCGTGGCTCCCTAAAACCGAAAGTGCTGTATTCTTGAAAAAAACTCTCCTAATGTGTGAGAGAAATGTCACTCCCTAAGGGAATAACAATTTCTACTGATAGTAGGTAAGAGAAATTGTAAATGGGAGCGAAAATAACAATACACACCCTTTCAAAAACCTAGGGAAGTATTTTGTTTTTTAAAAAGCGGAAGTTAATAAAAGATGGATATCAATCATATGCTCTACTGGAATTATATTATGTTTAATGATGTTTTGGAGGCAGTTGAAGATCTTCAAATTGGCCGGGATGTCCTCCAACCAACGGACCCATTTCTTTTGTCGGATAGAAATTTTTTACAAATTTTAAAATATATTTTGGAATATTCAAAGGTAGTAATAGTAGCAGGGTAGCAGTTAAGATTAAACTGCTCCAAAAAATCACTGCTTTTTGTCACCGTGACAATACTGGAGCAGTCACATTTTGTCACAGCTACACAAAAATCGCAGGTTGGCCCACCACTATGGGGAGTGATCAGGTTGACGGTTCACAGTATCTTGTCCTTTGTCAATAATTAAATTTTGTGATTGGTTAAAATTTTCATTGAATACCCGGCAACAGTGTTCATAGTTTCTCTCATTCCTTTCGACTCCCCGTATTCAAGAATACAGCTTTTTAAAATCGACAGAAATTATGATGGAGTAGAAAAGCGAGTTAGCTTAGTGGGGAGTAAAATTTTCTCTCGATTCAAGAATAAGGCCCTTGGTGTCTGCTGTATTTAGAAAAATATTAATGAGGAAAGTTAAAAACAATATTTCTTTTATGCTGCCCGTGGTTTCTCAAATTAAGTATTAAAAATCTTACGAAAAATGTATTAAGAATTCATCGTTTAAGTTGTGATTCATTGGTGAGTTGTTTTCCAGATTTAAACAAAACTTCAATTGATTATAACTTTGCTTTCAAGCTTCCACGTAATATTTTTTTCTTATTTTATTCTAGTATACTTAAACAATGTGCATTAATTAGACTGGAGGGGTAGTCTAAAGATTTTGAAAAGTATTATAAAAATATATTTTTTTAATCACTGATTACAAAAACGTTAACAAAATTAAAACATTGAAAGGCTCAAACGTTGAAAGGTCAACATATTGAAAGGTATCGAAATTTCAACTTTATTAATTTTTAAATTTTCTATAATTTATATAAAGTATTAAAATAATTAGTCATTTAGTGTAATGTCAAAACTTAAAATGGAACAAAATGGGTTTTAATTAACTACAACATTTTTTGAAAATGTAAAATTGTAGTTGTTAATATAAAAATGTTACAATAAATTCATTTCAGAGTAGTTTTTAAATTGAAAACCTAATTTTGTCTGGAGGATACTTGATGTCGAGAATATTTT